AAACACGGCAGCTCGTTTATTATGTGGGGAACCATTCGCTGCAGCTTATCTTCGTTCGACACTATCTTTGCAGAGTGAACATTTAACTCAGATCTACCGGCTGTCACATTATTGGAACAACAATAAGCTGCGTTTGAATCAACCAGTCGGATCCTCGTTTTCAAAAACGCACGAGAAAAGCAGCAGAAATCTGTTGAAGGGGAGGGTTGTTACAGAAATTGTGGGATTATTATTATCTTTTTTTCCCCCCCCCCACTGTTGTTTTGCTGAGACTTATGGACGGGGCTGCGGCCTCGTCTGTGTGACCTGCTGCTGTGTATTACAGCTCTGATCTGATCTGCCTGACAGATGACCAGACTACATTAAAATCCCCGTTAAGTGCTGGAGGGGAACCAGGGAGGGCGGGACGCTCAGGCCAGCTGCAGACTGCAGGGGGATGTTCATGGACGCATGCTGAGAGAGAGCTGACCTCTTTCTTTCTACTCTTCCAGAAACGCACGAGGCCACAGTCACCACCAGGAGCAAACAGCCTGGTCCTCACCTCTCTCTAAACTTTATACATTTAAATAGATGTAACTCACACATATAACGACCACACCAACGCTTTGTTTTAAAGTGTTACAGTTTGCTGATCTAGTAAAATTTAAAACTGGAAGGGAATTAAATGACTGAAGGCTAAACAGGGACATGAATATTTTGAAATCTGACTGAAACCTTCATAATGGTGATTATTTCTTGTTTCTCTTGTTTGGATTTAATTGTTGATTCTCTGTAATCTGTTAATCTATGTAACACTAAAGCTACGAAGAGATTATTTATTTGTAATAAACGTGTAACGGTGAGCATGTGTAAAGCTTCAGCTTATACCTTTTCGATCTGTACAACACTTATTAATATTTCTTTTGAGTTATTTTGTGCGTCTGTGTGTTTTACATAGAATAAACTAAAAAAAAATGCTCGTGTTTTTAATTGTGACGTCATTTTCTTCATCCAGACTAAAAGGTGAGTAAGTGCTTCATTGAAATTTGACTTTTCCTTCCGTCACAGGACTGTTTTTCTCAGAACTGGTTAATTTATGATCAACCAATAGTCCGCCTCTTGCTGCCAAAGTTACAAACCTCTGGTTCAGTCTGAAGGCAGGTGCACTTCCGATTAGTAAGGTCATGTTTTTGCCTCTAGTTTGACCCTAAAAAGCTATTTTTTCTACTTTTTTTCTCATTGCTCTCTGTTCAGGTGCAAACTGTGGTGATTATTCAACCAAAACGTTTTTTTGTCTATATTGACCCAAAAATTGAAAATAATGCAATCAAAGCCTATATTTTTCTAAAATTAGCTGGAATACTTCCTTATTTTGCTGAAACGTATCTTTTCAAATCAAACCTCTAATGAATGTTAATTATTCATTCATTTCACATTTCAGTAGCAGCACATCACAATATTTTCTCTCCTCTTGTTAGAAACAAGAAGAAACAGGATCGTCTAATTTAAGAACCTTTAAGTTCAAAATGTTACTTTAACTTCAGATTTTATTACTTCTCTCTTCAAAGCTCTAAACTATCTAGGTTCAGATCGGCGGAGAAGAGCAAATAATTACTAAAGGGTGAGAGAAGGGTAATCAATATCTATTGGATTCCAATTTCAATCACAGAGGACAGTCTGCTTTTATTACCAGGGTGAAATATTAGATATTAATCCCAGTGGACTGTCCAGGAAAAACTGGGTTCTCGGTCAACAATCTACAAATTATTCTCCATCAGCTGCAGTGCGTCTCGTTTAAAAGCCAGTTTATATTCACGCTGCCTGTTCCTAGATTAATAATCAGTACCAAGTACAACAGTGGTGTCCAATATTTTTTCTAATTATATCAAAAACTATTTTTTCTTACTTTTACCTGCTAAAATAAATAAAAATGAATACAAAATATTTTAAAGCACAGCAGTCAGATTTCTATAGATTTCTAGATTTAAAACAAAAATGGATCTGTCACAATAAATATGTGCTGGACGATAAATTGTCCCAGTAAAACGATAATATTGTTGCTTTGAGACAATTTTCATTTTGACAATGGAATTATAAATTAAAAGACCTCTCATAAACCAATAAACTTTCATTTTCATAAAAGAACATCCAAAATAAAACACAATGACCAAAGATAACATATAAAATAAAAATGTAAATTAAAATCGCACACCACAAAATTGACCTTCAAGAAACATTCATTCGGTCACTCCATGCTGCCGCTCTCTGATCCGTCGAGCTGCAGTCTGGATTACGGGGGGATTGGCAGCACAACAACGCAGGGCTTTACACGGATACATGCACCCAGCAGAATATGACCTCTGTGCCCGTCAGGGACTCAGATGCAGATCAATATCCTGCTTCAGCGAGGGCCGATCATCTATCGGGCACGTGTCCGATAACAATGCCGCCCTAAAGCAGCCGTCCTCCGGCAGCAGCGGCGTCTTGTGCTAGTAAAGCCGAGCAAGGCCAGCAGCTTAGAGGAAGTTGCTTGGCGATGGTTGCTAGGCCACCAAACATTTCTGTCTCAAGTAGATGTTTTGATCCGAAAGCCTTGAATTTGATCAATAAAAAACTTTTGTTCAGATTTATATGGAAACTTGGAGAAAAACGTGAATCCTTTTGAGATTTCATGCGGCAGCAGAACGTGCTTCACATTTACACTTCTAACCGCTTTAATGACGAGACGTTTTAGATTTAAACCTCATTCATTTGAGTGCTGAGGGTTAACCACCACAGCTGAAATATAATCCATTTAAACAATTTTAATGATGAACTGAAACCACAAAGCCCTGAGATGCTAAAACTAATTGTGAATGCAGTTCTTGAGTCTACACTGACATTTTAAAATCTTTAACAGTTATTTTTTTTATACGTTTTACACCACTTCTCTTAGTTTTGTTCACTACAAAAGCTACCACTTTAAAAATAAAATATAAAATAGTTAAAAAAAAAAAACATTATAACGTGCTTGTTTATTTATTTCTAATACTTTAGTTTAGTTAACATGTCATTTTGCCATGTTTCTGTTTGTGTTTTTTCCCGTTATAGTTAAAGGTGTTTATTTCAGCTGTGTTTAATTTTAACAACTGTCAACTGTTCATTGGGAGGCATTTTCTCTGTAGATTGTTTAGGTTTATTTATTGTATTTTATTTAATGTATAGGAGCAGAAGCTGATTATTTGTCTTGTTAGGATAAATACAGCGAGTGTGGCTGTTGTGAAGTCAACCTATTAGACTTGAGACGAGCAAATAAGCATTACATTTATACATTTATGTGTGTTTAGAAACAAATTTTTTGTCATCAGTTGGTAAATAATGCTAAATAGTTTCTTGCATAATGCTTTAGCAGGTCCAGAGGACCCCAAAGTGCTTTAAACTACATTTAGTCATTCACACATTGCTGGTGGGAAGCTACATTGTAGCCAGAGCTAGCATTGAAGCTAGACTGACAGAAGCGTAATGAGGGTTGTTATTTCACTATCAGTAAAATAATATCAGTATCGAAACATCAGTAAATGTCAGCTCCTAAATGATCCTGAATTATATTGGGGACAATTAGAGATGAGACAGGAAATCTGCCAGTTTTTCCCACGTTGATTTAGTTCAGTGATCAGTATGTCAAATATAAACAAAACACCTTTTTATTTGTTCAATTTGACAAAATTAAAACCAAGAACTCCCATCAATTTATGGCTAATAAACAAAGATTAGATAAAGTTTAAGGACAGATACGTTGATGCATGAATGGGGATCATTTTTTAAGTCCTTAAGATTTAGCATCTCTCATATTATTTATCGTAATAAGTTGTCATAAGAATTTAGATTTATCGTTAAATTCCAATTAATGAAGCTTAAAACCCCATAAACAGTCCGTCTCCTCGCGATTGTTGGTTTTGCTATTTTCTTCATCGTTTCTTCAAGAGATTTGAATAAGCAGTTTAGTGATACAAATCACATTTCTGTAAGTGACTGGTGTCCTACAGAAACCCACTGCTGTTTTTAAGAGCAGTATTTGTGTTTGTTGGGCTATGATTGCTGTTTCATCTAGTCACAGTGATCCAGTTATCCAAAATAAAATAAAATAGTTATCTTTTATCTTCATCAGAATACCACGAAATATCGTAACAAAACGTTCAGGCCACTCCTAGAGCAGGCTTGTCAGACTTATTGCATCTAATTGGTGAATCTCTGATAATAACCCTCACCTTTACTGCTTTTGCACAGGAAACAATAAAATGTAGTCATGTGTAACGTCAAAGTGACAGAGTAAATTTCTCGCCAGCTTGCCATAAAGAAGAAGAGAAAACATCAACAAGTCCCCAACAGGTCACACATAAAGTGTCATATCCATGAAGGAAAAGTGTAACATCCCAGAGACCCATTTATTATGAAACCTGTTGCCTAACTAAACACACACAGAGTCGACCGTCATGTAAACGATAACTAGCACCTTTGCATGGACACTTGTATTGTCTGGCAGGTAGTTCAATTTGCCATACCCCGATATACATAATGGTCCGCGTCTCCGGGGTGCGTGCACACACACCGACACACCGCGTGCTGTAACTCCCACGCAGCGGCTTTGTGTTGAAGGGCAAGAACAGAGCAGTGTTATCCAAAATAACAGACTGAACAGAATGCATGATGGCACACATTTAAAGCACAGCAGATTCACTCCACGCTAATGTGTGTGATCGTTGCATAACGAGGAGAAAAACAATTCAAGTGGAGTTCACTGCTCTTAGTTTCCAGATGACACACTTCAGAACTATAAACTAGCTCTCTATACCACCTGCAGATATGTAAACCATAAACCTCAGCAGAGACGCTGTAAATATTCCTCCAGATGGAGAGAAGGAAATGTTGCTTGCATCTTATCTCAAGACGTGATATAAAACTCGCCTTGCATACAAAACCTGCTGCAGACACACCCTTTTATTATTCTTTGTCCTAAGAAAGAAATGTTCTCTCATGAACTATTTTTATGGAATTTCATTTATTTTATAAATTATTACAGTCAGTTAAGGTCATTTAAGACACATTAGAGGTTTATAGAGTAAATATAAAACACTGCTTGGAAGCCGCAATACAGATAGATACAGTGTGTGTGTGTGTAAATGTGTGTGTGGGCAGGTCACTGTTCGCTGGGTGTGTGGGAGATGGTGGTCTGGAAGGCGAAGGTGATGTGGCTTCGTGCGTGATCGAGGTAAGGGTCTGAGAAGGTGTGTGTGTCCCCGGAGAAGTGTCTCCACTGCATGAGCTCCGACATGCTGAGATGCTTCTGCGCCGCCCCCCTGCGGTCGCCCTGACGACCGAGCTGGCACGGCCTGTCGGGAACAAGCTCCGCCTCCTCCACCTCCACGTCTGAGAGATAAGTGAGAGAACGCGTTGAGAAAGCTGAGAGCTTATTCATACGCCTCGAACGATTCCACATTTTTGTTATAATCACAAAGTTAAAGGGGTTTCATTTGGACTCTTTGGTATAAACCAACACAATGTAGTAAAGGATGGGGAGTCGAGACTTTTTGCAGATAAAGATCTTAAAAGTGTGGCATGCATTTTGGTCTAAGTCTAAACTTTGACTGGGTCATTCTGACGTTCGAATATGCTGCAAGTTTGCAGACTCCCTCTGCAAACCTGCAGACAATGCTACAAAATATTTACAGAAACATAAATATTAGGATGTTTTTTCCTAACTTTTAGTCACTATTCAATAATTCTTACTTTGCCTCACATGCTCTGACTTTAGTTGGTGATGAGCAGGGCGGCTGGACGGTTCTTCTGTCCGTTTTCTTTTCAGAAACTTGTCCTTTTTCCATTCGCTACGCTAGCTCTAGGAGCCCAGCAACTTGAATTTGACCGGCAGCCATTTAGAAAGATGAGCATGCCACTTAGCATCTCAATAAATTAATTTAAGTTCTATTTTATAACAATGATTAGAAAACAGGTTAGATTTTGTGTTTAATTTTTTTTTAAAATTATAATTAAAAACGTATAAATTCAACTTTTTTTCTCATCTTCCCTCCAGCTTTCTGAGGCCTCTCTAGCGACATTTTATTTTTTTATTTAAGAAAAAGACAGGCAGCTAAGCAAACCTAATACTGGAAATTTATGAAAAACCTATTTTTGTTTAAATATGAACTGATAGAATTGATCTTATAATAAATAAATATTTTATTTGCTTCTCTTTCTCTCATCAGTCACATATGTTAAACAGACTCTCCAGATCGTTTGAATAGCAAAATCGGTTTGTAGATTAAAAGCCACATTTTTTTCCTTTCCCCTCTTAATTACGAGCTACTCTGCATCAAATCTGAATGAAATGCTTGGAATTTCATAGCTGCGACATTAAAAGTTTAGGACTGTAACTGCTGTCATAAATGGCTTTAAGCTGGGCATACCGTTGGCCGAGCCATCCATGCTGCAGCTGCAGCTCAGCAGGTCATGGGTCAAACACGGCGTGTCCGTCAGGCTGAAAAGATCTCGCAGCTCGCTGGCGGAGAAGCTCGTGTGTTCGGCTGCTTTCCCCAAGTCAACCACCGTCCCCGACAGCCCCTGTTTGGACACCTGTCTCTGAAATATACGCTCCTCGATGGTGCCTGGGAGGAAATAAGGCGGACTTGCATGTGAAACTTCACACCAGTGAGGATTTTGACAAATATTTCTGCCTGATTAGAGCCATTTTTATTTTCCTTGCCTGTAGTGAGGAGACGGTAAATGTGCACCGTCTTTTTCTGTCCATCTCTCCATACCCGAGCCATGGCCTACAGAGAGAAAAGTTACAGAGGATACAGAGCAGAGCGCCACCTGGTGGATATAAATATGCTTCACTGTTAACTGTGAATTATTGGTTCAGATCATCTCCTCGTTATTAAGAAATCCTGAAACTAAGATCACAAAACCAAGCAGACTAACAAGTGATTCACTAGCTACACACTCATGCATAAGAGAGAATTGAAATTAAGGTAAAAGTTTACCTGTGCTCTGACTTTGAAGGTGTTAGAAGCAAAGTGTATTTAAACCATACAAAACATTAAAATCAGAGTTAAACTGTTGGATTTTTTTTTTTTTTTGGCGCATCTATGACTGAATCTCACTTGAATGTCGTTGGCGGGGTTCCAGTCGATGTCGTACAGCACCAGGTGCGACGCTCCGATCAGATTCAGCCCCACCCCGCCTGCTTTGGAGCTCAGCAGGAACAGGAAGCTCTGAGAGTAGGGGCTGTTGAAGGCGTCGACCAGCCGCTGCCTCTGGCTCGTGGGCGTCTGACCGTCGAGCCGGCAGAACGCGTAGCCGGAACGAGAGCACAGGTCCTGAAGCAAGTCCAAAGTCTGAGTGTAGTTTGACACCAGGACCACCCTGCAGGAACAAGCTGCGTCAGTAAACGGTGCAGATGTTCAGGTAACAGATAAACTACGGCTGGGCGATACGACCTAAAAATAAAATATAATATTCAAAAAGTGGTTTTGTTTCAACCATTCCTTCTGCACTGTTGCACAACAGAGTATTAGGGCCAGGCTATGAGATATTTTATATTAGTCATAATATTATCAGAAAAAGATGACATTTTAACAGAACATGTTAAAATTATTATATATATGTGAAAAAAATGTGTTTTTAATGAGAAAAATGCTTCTGTCATTTGCATCATTTCATGATCATGCATTAAAACATTGAGTGTTTCCTGATCTGTTAAACTTATGCAAAAGCATAACTGCACAAGATGCTCAACATTTCTCATTTTAATTTTTGGTTTGGTGAAGTGGCTCTCATAACATTACTACTTAATTTTATGACTTTTTTTACTCAAATTATTTTGACTCTATTGTTGTATGACTTTATTCTTGTAATACTATGACACTACACCAGTAATTTATAAAAACAGAAACGACTTTAATTCAAAGTAAAAAAAAAAAGAAAAAAAAGAAAAAAAGCTGTTAGGAAATGCTTGTCAAACCAGTTGACATTTCTCTGAACCGTGGAAATTAATTTGTCGCCCAGCCAAAAGATAAACCTACACGCACCGGTCTGAAGGGCTGAGCTGTCTGATGGCACTCAGCAGGTCGGACAGAACTAAGAGTTTCCCAGAGTCAGCGGCGTCGAATCCTGCTGAACAATAGGATTCTGGGAAGAGATCTGCAAGTCCCTCGTACAAAGAGCTCTCCACAGATCCGCGCTCTTTTCTCTCCTGCAAGAACAGCAACACTATTCAGCCAAATTTCCTGACGCGAAACACACAGAGCTGAGAGTTGAAACGTAACCTTGACGGTGTCGTGGAGCAGGCCAGGATGGTTGCAGAGCTTCTTCAGCGCAGTGATGCAGGCCAGGTGTGCGCTGCCCTGTGTGAAGCCCTGCAGGCAGGCTCTGAAGACGCGGTGGCAGAGCAGGTGTTTGTACAGCTTCTGCTGCAGTGGCGACGGCGTGCAGAACAAGGTCCAGTCCAGACGAGGCGGCAAGTAGCGGTTGATGATCTCCTGCGTCCGACGCAGGATGAACATGCCGGTGAGACGAGAGAGTTCAGCAGCGCGCTCTTCCCCCAAAACTCTCTCGTCCTGCAGAGGCGGACAGAAGATGCAGCTTAAAGCTTTTCAAGATTTCAGAAACCTGCAGACCTGATGTGGTGACCGGTAAAGTCAGAAAGGACTTTCTGCATTACCTCAGAGCAGGACGGCTGTCTGGAGTGTAGAATTGGTTCTTCATAAACTTTTCTATACGCAGTGGTCGAACCAAGAATTCCCGGGTTCACAAACTCTATGATGGCGTAGAACTCCTGCAGGTCGTTTTGGACTGGGGTCCCTTAAAAATGACAAAAAAAAAAAAAAAACCATAATTCAGATCACTAACCCAGAAGTTTGTCTTTATTAAGACAACTCAAGCAGGTGTGCACCTGTGAGTATGACTCTGCGATTACAGCTGAGGCTGCTGAGGGCGGAGGACGTTTTGATGCTGCTGTTCTTCAGTCTGTGACCCTCATCGCAAATTATGAGACCAAACTCCACTTTCTGGATCTGAAAAAATATAAAAGGTGAACCTCAGACAGCTGTCAGCATGCGAGAAAATATGCAAATTAAATTGGAAAAACATGATCTGATCCTTCTTTGTGCGTAAAAGGCACCAGAAAGTTAACAATTAAAGAAAACCATTCCGACTTATTTCAGAGCATTTCTGTTGTTTATGATGCAACAGAACCAACAAATTTGTTAAGGTTATGTGTTTATAGGACGCATGTTTAGCAGTGTGACATGAGATGAATGAACTGTACCGGCTCCAGGCAGCGCAGCAGCATCTCATAGCTGATCACCAGAACGCTGTGGAGAGGCGAGGATAAAAACTCCTCTATCCTGTGGTCCTGAAAAGAAAACATCACCGCTAAATGTTAGTGGTTTAGTCCATGAAACCAAGAACAAACAACTGATCATTACAGAGTAAATTCTATCAAATTCAGCTCAATCTGCTCTTCAATCCATTACCAAACGTGGAACTTTTTAAATCAAAGCTGTCATTCCAGCAGGATTTTATTATGTAAATGTATGGTGGCATTTCTGCTTTTATTTAGCTTGTTCTGTTTTGCCTTTCTTGTATTTACTTGTTGCTGTCTTTTATGTTCCTTCTGATGTAGTAAAGCCTTGTGGTTTTCTAAACTGTGGTTGTGTAAAGTGCTATGTAAATAAATGATTGATTTGATTTGATTGATTAGAACTGATTGAAGCAGCACTTCTGGGTTGAATAAAAGGCAGAATAAAGTCCGTTTACTTTGTAATCCAGTATTACTGCCTTGAGAAACTTTCTTTTTATAAAGATCTAGGTTTTTCTAATAGAGCCAAGCAGTTTCTAAAACCATTTAAGACATTTATATGGCACAGTGTGCACTTCAAATGTAAGAGAGTGAGCTCACACGTATGACAATATGGTCATATGAAAACTAATCGAAGTAAAGTACCATCGCAGTCACTTTGCTGTCGCGTTGTGTGAATTATGAAACTAAAGTAAATGCACCTGATCCACAGTGAAGACACTGATCCGTTCCCGGCCGAGCCATTTGGTGAACTCTGCTCTCCAGTTCTGCACGAGGCTGCCAGGAGTGACCACGAGGACACGCTTTGCGACTGGTTTCCCGCCGTAAGGTCCTTGCTTAAGCAACGTCCAGCAGAGCGCCACGCTCTGCAGCGTCTTCCCAAGGCCCATCTCATCCGCCAGGATGGCGCCGTGACGACCTGCAGCTCTGAAGCACATGACCGTTTTAAAGGTGACCTATCATGTTTCCTTGAATAGGTCAGGACAGGTTAATGAGCGACTTGTATAAAAAGATTTTAGTCCAGTCAATTCTGCGTCTTTTGAGCTCCGTTAAGAACAAGCTCTTTCAGGGCCTTTTGTCACTTTAAGTCCACATAAACAGCTGCTGGCCACAACCCCCCAACTCAATGTTTACACTTTCACACCAAAATGGCTGCAAACAGATGCACAATTATTCATCTTTGAAAAGCAGAAGTAGAGCCTGCTACACAACCAACAAGGATTCAGCAAGTGGTTTTTGGATGGTAAGTGAACAACAAAACACTTGACTTTTCCAGTAGCCATTGTACAGCAGTAGAACCAGCTGACTGTGCTGGAGTTGCTAGGTGAGGGGCGGAGCTCCACAGGAAGTTGCTAAGTAATTTCCTGTTACTTAGCAATCGGAAGCTTTTTGAAACGGCTCGTTTCCCAGACACCAAAACATCACAAACTTATTGCCAAAAAAACAGCTGGGTGGGTTTTTAAACAACTAGAAGCAGTCAAAACCCAAAATGGAAACATAAAAAATGTGCAAAATGTAAATTTTGTAAAATAGGTCCCTTCTCCAGATTTCAGGAAGAGATTTCTTAGGTATTGACACGAGGAACATTACTCCTACCTCATGCCCATAACACACTCGTAGAGGAAGAGGATGCCCTCCCTCTGGTGGGGTCGCAGGTGCGTGGTCAGGTGTGGGTCAACGACGACGTCGACCACAGGAAAGCCTGACTTGTTATGAAGCCACTGGTGGTTGGAAGAGGGGCGAGGCATTACTAAGGCACCTATGAAAACAGGTTTTTAAAATGAGAACCCCACAGACTAAAGACCCCCATCATAACATTACACATCCGTCTGACATTTCAGAAGCACATGAAGAAAAACTGAAGTAAATAATAGTCCAAATGTGTAAAATGAGCCATTTTCAATTTGTATGTAGAGTGTACATATTGAGACAAATAGAAAAAAGTTTCATGCAGAAAAAGTACTTCCAACTATTTTTAAAACATTTTTAAACTTTAAACCGGGTCAATTTGACCCGCAAGATAACAGGAGGGTTAACATCGAATTTGATCTCCACCATTTTGAACGAGTCAAAACCTTTCATAGCATTAGCATCTTCACTTTGAAATGCTAATGAACCACATAAATATGCAACTGCAAAAAAAAAAAAAACTGTTACAAAAATGTAGAAATGACCAGACATTAATGATGTTAAATCCCATGCCAGACTATGCAGACGCTCAGTCAGCACTGATAAAAAATTGTTGCTGATGTAGCAACAGATCAATTATCTGATTAATTCAATCGATAATTATATCAGCACTTTAATTCACAGACTGTGGGTCAAGCATTAAGCATGTTGGCGGACTGTAAAGCATGAAAATGCAAATACAGCATCAATGTTCTACACAAATGCTTTAATCAGCAGGTCGCAACATAAATTATGAACATTATGAACATACTTCCTATCTGTGACAAGACATGGTGTCTCACAAAATTCCCTTACGATATGTGGACCAACAAAACCATCTTTACGTGGCATTATGAAAGTTAAATTTGTCCTACATGCCTGGAGCTAGCGGGTCATGACGAGGTTTGCTGGTTTGCTCCGCTTGTGGTTTATTTTCTGGATGCCCTGCTCTGCCCAACATTGTTGGGGGGCAGAAAGGTTTGGGGTTGAAGCGGCGAGGAAGAGGCGCAGCAGCCTTAGCGTGCAGCTCCTCTTGATCAGTTTGAACCTCCTGGAAACAACGACCTTTGGCAAAGTCCTCAGCAGAGACGATGCCCATCACCTCTATCTCCTTCCCTCCAATCATCAGCGTCTCTCCCTCAGACAGCGAGGCCAGCTCTGACACCTTGTAGCCACTACCTGTGACACAAACATCCTGAGAAGATCAAATAGTTTCCTGCAAAACTACGTGATCGTGTTACAACACCTGAAATCAATACTTCTATTTTACAGTTATGAAGCAGAAGTAAAACTTTGTGTGTGGATTTTAATGGTTTTTTTTATTCATTGTTTTTGGCTGCTGGGCTATATTTTAGATGCTTAAAATTTCTCCCACTTCTAGTGTGAAGTGTTGTGTACAAAATTAAAGTTTATTAGTCTTTGAGAGAGAGAGCAAACATGCATTAAAATGCCATCATCACTATATAAGTTGAAAATATAACGATGCAGGTAATAAGATTCTTGCTTATCGCAATAATTTCTGGGACAATTTATCCTCCAACAAAACGATTGTTACAGTCCTATGCGCATGTATATTTTTACAAGGAAACTTAGTTCCCATAAGATCCTGAAAGTAGTGAGAGGTATTTTTAAACAAGTAGTCTTCTGCTGTTAAATTCAAATAAACCACAATAGTTTTTTTTTTTTGCACAATATATCAAATTACATCACACACTTTAACTTGCGTTCTCTCTACTGAATACAGTAAATGTTCTTAAGGCTCACCCTTTCCAATATCCTTCCCCTCCATGTCTTTGAGTACGACTGTTCGCCCTCTGGCAACCAGCACGGCGTCTCCCTCCCAGCGCTTGTGTTTCTTCTTGCTGGCTTTACACCAAACCACACTGAAGTATCGGACTCCATCTGGGCCTGCGGCTCCAGAGACACGAGGTGAATCTGCAAGAGGCTGAGGGGTTTGAGGAGACGCGTGGGTCCACTGGAGGCCTCCATCTACTCCTCCTGCTAGAGAAAGAAAAAGCAAGAGGCTGGAAAATCCTTGAAGATGCAAACAAACAAGCCACCAATAGAGGGCGCATCAAGCCTTGACTTGGAGCAGTGATCCCCTGCTCTCAGCAGCAATTCATTAAAAACATGTTTTGGACGTTTTAGGAATAAAAATGTGTAGAAAATGTTTAAGAATAAAAGGAGAGACCGGCGATTTAATCAATGCGCTTTAATAGAAACCAATGAACATGAGGACAAACTGGTAAACAAACATAACAGAACAACCAGCAACAAATTCACATTGAATAGGAACATAGATATAAAAAATCCCTCTTCTTCCTTCATAAATAAGCGGGCCATCAACTCAGCCAGAGATTCCCCGACCGTCGCATATTTTTACCTCGCATCACTTCATCAGATCATAAGGCTTTTCAAAATGTTTTTGTATCACAATTGTGATTTAGAAACATTTTTAGACATGTTCTTTTATGGTGACCTATTTTTTTTAAGCTGATATATAAAAACATCGTCCAGTTTTCCAAGAACCTAAAAAATAATCGCCTTTAATGTTTATTACTTCTTAATACCTCAAATGCCACAGAAAGGGGAGGGGGGTCCATTTCAGACTGACAAGATTTGTCCAAACTGTCCAACTACTTACACTTACATTGCAACAGCAATCCTAATAATCTTGGTTAATAAAGAATATTAACGCTATCCTGACAAACCCACAGCTACCACCCAGTTGCAGATGAAGAAATTGTTTTTCACTTCGCACAATCACAGTGTCTTGTCGCCACTTCTATGAATAATGAAGACAACGTTCAACACCGATCAGCATAAACGGTAACCGACTGCAGCGTATCCCCTAAAAACAGGAGGATAATCACATGCGGTCGGTACGGATGAGGCACTACGTTTCCAAAAGTAATTCAGATCCTAAAAATGCCGTCAAGCATGAATCGATTCATCAGAAGCACTTGTGTCACATCCACCATCACACACAAACGCACGCACGCAAACACACATACACACACACTCGCAGAGTCTTGCAAAAATAGTCAGAACCGGGAAACTTTTCCATATTTAGTGACGTCACATCCTCGAGCTTCAGTGTATTTTATTGTGATTTTAAGGGACAGATCAAAGTCTGCAAACTTTACAGCCTAAAGAGCCATTTTGGCGTCAGGACATCCAATTAAAACTCGTTTGTAGTCATTTTGAACTTTTTAGACAAATATCTACTTTACGAAATTTCTTGTCAAATTACAGAACCAGGGTATTATTTACATTTTTAGGATTTAATAATAACTTAAACATAAAACAGGATTGATTTTCTTTAAATCACACATTCTAAACTAATGTTAAGAAAACAGATATAAAAACATATTACTGGTATTTTTATCAATGAAGGTCATTTTATAGCACAGTTCAGGAACAAGGCAGGTCAAAGTTCTTTACAGCACTTTTTGTCTTTGTGAAAATTTAGTGCAAATATTGCAGAAATTGTTTTTGAAAAAAGGCTAAAAACCTGCATTTGATATCAAATCTGCATTTAAAAATATTAACTGTCTGGTTCTTTGTAATTTTTAGTCAAAGTTATTGTGGAAGAGCCACTTATGGCTCCAGAGCCAAGATTACAGACTAACAAAAATTAAAAACTGAATAGACTGTTTTCATAAAGCGGAGTCAATATAAATATACAGTTGTAATTTTTGCACTACTTTTTATGACATAAAGTCACAGTACAATACACTGAAGTTTATGGAAGTGGGAAAAAGCTACAGGGATGTGAGCACATTTGCAACCCAGAGTATGTGCATGCTGCTTGTTGCTAGAGAGGAATAGGCAGTCCGTGTCTCAGTCGGGCAGCTTTTAGTTTCTCCACTTTGATTTTGGCTCTCAGCAGCTCCTCCTCCAGCTCCTGCTTCCTCTTCAGGCCCTCTCTCTTCTCCTCCAGGTACAGGGAAACCTTCCTGTGATTGGCCAACACCAGATCGTGCTCCTCCTTGGCAAGGTGCAGAGGACGAAACCTGTCCGCCTCGTGGCGAGGGTAGATGTCGTTTGGGTAGAATTCGTGGCTCAAGGGCAGCGGCGAGGCAGAGAGGGCGATGTTAACCGAGGAAGAAGCGGGAGACAAGGACGCCTGGTAATTGTGGGAGCTGGCCAAGTCCTGCTCCCCGTCTGGCTCTTGAAACCCGTCCAGCACTGGAACGGCGTGCGAGGTGACGACGGGGAGGTCTGGCGGTGGTTTCACGTCCTCTTCGGGGTCCAGGTTGTCCACCTCGGGCGCGATGCTTGGTACAGGTGCTGCATAATCCTGGAGTCCAGCCAGAGAGGAGCTGCTGCCAGGATGCTCAATGGGGGACGTGTGCTTGTTGTATATTAACCTGCGAACAGCAAAGAGGTGCAAACCAGTTTTAAAAGATGGTTAAAAAACTGTTTATCTTTAGTATTAAATTCTGCTCAGAAGGATAATAAAGCATTTATATATTTAATTGCTATATGTTCTTTATTGCTACACTGGAAGTCTGATAAATGTCCATCAATGTCGCTGTGGGTTAAAGACATGATGTGTTTTTTAATTTGAGAGAATTTAACACATTTTACGAGAATATATACAAAGGATTTACAAAAAATGGCAATCTTGACTGATTAGTCACATTATCTTTTGCCTCTGTTACGTATATGTAGACTTGTTGTAATAAGCAATAAATTAAGTAATATCATGATACATTAAAACAAGTTCAATGATTTTCATTTGCATGATATATTGTTTTCTTCTTTCTACCACACACTCTGACAAGTCTTCAGTTTGGTGCTTTAGTCTGAGCTATCTGGAGATTTTTTTTTTTTAAGGATAATTGTTTACAGAGAATTTATAATTCATTTAATTTGTCGTTTCTGTTGTTTTGTTTGCTTATTTTGAATGTTTAAATAGTTTTCCAGTTCCAGTGTTAAATTTGAATTAGAAATTTAAGTTTATTGATCTCTGAGCATTTTGCTCTTGCATTGTTTGCCATTAAAATTATATTACTTGAGAATCTGGGACAATTTATCATTTTGGATCATTTATTATCATGCCAGGCCCAGGTGTGTATATCTGATGTTTTCTGTGCTGACATAAAACATAAGAACTAATATTGGAGTAATTAAACCTAACTATGATTATTATGGAGTAACCCTAATTACTCAGAATTACTCCATAATCCTGAGTAATTTCTTGGATTGCTACTTTTTACTTTTACTTGAGTAAAACATGTTGAAATAGTGCTACTCTTACTTCTGCACAATGTTTGGACACTCTGCCCAGCTCTGCTCACAGGTGATGAAGTTTATTTTTAAATGACTGAGCGTTTCTCCAAATTGTAAAGCTAAGGATTTTTCCCATGTCACATGGGATCAAATAATAATGTTTCATGTTTTGCTAACGAAACCATTAACTGAGAAAATGATGGAACTAAAAAGCCAATTAGTTTTACTGTTTCAAAGTATTTTTAATGGGTATGCCATCGTGATGGATGGGAGGATGAAGTGTTTGCAGGGCTCAGGTGTAAGCTGGACCGTACCTGCGCAGCGCCTGGTCCTTCTCGTGGATGGGCACGTGTTGGAACAAGTGAGGGATCATCTCCATAATCCTCCTGGTCGGCTCAGAGATGCTCCCTCTGTACTCGGGCTGGGCGTGTCTCCGCTGCATCACTTCCTGCTTGGCCGACTCCTTCAGCCTCTTGTAGAGGGTTCTGAGGCCCTGGGCGGTGCGGTGGGGTCTGTCCCCTCCCAGAGCGTTGTACTGCTCCGCCACCGTGTCCCAGCACTTGTTCTTGTCCACGATGACGGCGTGCTTGTTGGTGTGCTCCTCCAGGATGCGGATGTGAGGACGGACCAGCTTCAGCAGGTCCAGCTTCTCGGAGAGGGTGAAGTTGGAAGAGCGCGCTTTACCCACCATGCTGGACATGAACACAGTGTTGGAGGCCATCTTATGGCATAGCAGACTGAGGCGGACCAAACCAGGCCTAAAACTGCTCCCAATCTCAGAGTTGTGGCTCCCCACTCTGCTCTGCCGTCCTCTCTCTTGGTCCCCGGTCACACACTGGCCTAACACTCATTTATGCCTCATTTCCCTTCTCTTCTCCAGATCAGCCCTTGTTAGGCTTTGACTAAGAAGTGCATGGATTCACACTCTGGTCCTGGGTTCTCTCACGGCTACGTTGCACAATAAAAACTGGCCGTGCTGCACACAATAAGAATCAGGCTTAACTAGGCCAGCCTCATTTAGGCCCCCGCCTACCAGCGGAAGGCTTTGGATGAATTCCTCTCAGCTTAGGCTGACGTAGTTAAGCCGCTTAAGCCCAGCCCGACCTACTTACAGCTCGGTCTGTGTAAACCCCAAACCAAGCGCAGCAGCAGCAGCAGCACAGCCACGCTGTCTGGACTGCTTTAAATAAAAATGACAGCAGCTGCGGCTTTCCACGGAGATATGGGGGACGTGTTTTTAAACGCAACATTGGAGGCTGCAGCGGGGTTAGGGCTCTGTTTTTCTAAAGAGAGGGGAGATTTGGAGTAGCGCTGGCTTAACTACAGGAGCGGGGGGAGGGGAGTGGGCCGACTGCGCATGCTCGAACAAGCCGCGCTTCTGTTCTGCTCAAAGCAGCCTCGCTCGAAAACAGACCAAAACTCACACTTGTTCCACGGATCAAAGCACGTGCTCGGAGCGCGTGTTACAGCCCGTGCTGACCTGGCGGAAGCGCGCGTGTCCGCGGCGTGTTTTTACGAGAGGAGATGCTGGAAACGGTCCTAATCTGGCCGCTGTCCCCCCTCCCATCCATCCATCCATCCATCCATCCATCCATCCACGGTGAAAAGCGCTTTTGTTGTGACTGCTGAGGGCATCCACGGTGAAACAGAAGCAAACAGGCAAAAATAAGGCAGAGCTTTGCGCTGGAGTCGTTAGTGTATGTGCAGCCAGATGCTACAAAAGCAATAAAATAAAATAAAATAAAACGCAACAATATCCAACATTTAACAGCGTATGTGACCGGCATGTGAATGTGTAGATGTGCAGGCACAAATATTCTATTAAAGCTCCAAATTTATATCCAATAACGTGGATAAACTTTTACTTCGTCACCTTCTTAAAAATAAAATAATGGCCAATGTTTTTATTTTTATTTATTTGCAAAAAGTGATTTTGGCAATATATTTTTGGCAAAAAATGACAAAGGAAATTATTTCAGGAAGGTGGCGATGATTTTTCTATTTGTGCACAAAAATATTCATAGTTAATATTTTTTATTCAATATTTTTGAAAATGACGGCACTCGGATGAACGCTGAACAATCTGCTCTATGGTTTGACCATAACAAATTATCATTAAATTTGGATAAGACGAAAATCATGGTTTTT